TGGGGAGTTTTGAGTTTGATCCCTGGTGGGGTCGAAAGTGTGCACTACTGGAGAGTTCCATTATACGATGCCACAGATGTCTGGTGGTCCCTGGTCTCCAGTGGTCTCTGATTGATGCTGGTTCGTGATGAAATCTAACAACTGATGTTCATTGTGTAGTTATCTATGAAATAAATACAAAGTTGTATTTATGTTGATTTCTTTTGTATGACATTATATATTGGTGATATTGTGGATGCGAGTTTCATTCATTTAGTGTTTATCAGTCTAGTGTACCTACAAACGTGCTAGTCAGTGGTTGTGTTCTTTAGTAAATCTAATATTCTAGTGTTAACTTTACCATTAAGTGATTCATAATTTTCTTTACTGCACTTAATGAGAAGCATATAAGTTAAGAATAGAAGAAAATCGATATACTTCTTGTTTGAACAGAGAGCTAGGCATTCATATTTGTATAAGAATAACTAATCAAGCTCTTTGGTAAGACGGTGTGTTTCAAAAACTGCAACTAATCACAGATACAGACTGAAAAAGTGCTACCAGCTGAAAGAAATCATAGTAGTATCATAACAATTCACTTGAAAACAAAGGGCATTCAAGTGGCTTTTAGATGTTTTTATTTAATCTGTATGAAAATATAAACACTTTAACGGTAAGTGTTTATTTCACAAAAATCAAAGCATATGAATGTGACCAACCTTGTAAAAGAGTTTATATCTCTGTTTTCAATTACAGTGATATAAACCTGTTTCTAGTTGAAAACTATAGGAATACGAGGACTCTTTTGTTATGAGTACTAACAACTACAAAGCATATGTGAGGGAATTACTTTTCAACTGCCCTTTAGCATCTTGGATCCTAATCTGTATAAATCAGAAGTGTTAATCATCTGGTCTGAGATCGAAACATCCGAGGATGATGATGTCACTAAGTTATAAACATACTAAATCATAAAATAACAAAAGATGGGAATATCTCAAGTATCACATTTTAGTTAAGAGGTGAAAGTGTGATATTTGCGTTAGTCGTGTGGTTTGGTAGGTATTATCTAACAAGATAAAATTAATGTATGCTGCATTACTGAAATTTATATTCAGAAGGCTCAGTGCCTATCACTGACAAACTGTAGCGATCTGTGGGCGACAGTAGCTAAAAATGGTGATAATCCGGCTTTGCAGATAAAAAATAGGAAACCAGACAAGCAGGAATCAATCAGTCAATCAAATAAATATATTATAATTTCATACATTTTTGTTCCCCTTTATGAATTTGAATAAAGCAAGAACAACAGTGGTTTGTGCAGAATAAGACACTACTATCATTCATTTCGTTGACTTCTCATCATCTGCATACAGCCCATATAAATTATTAAGTTTATGTACAGAACAATTCTAACATACTTGCTAATGTTATATGACGTCAGTTGACAAAATTTTCCAACCTTAATGAATAGTGCTCATAATCCATTATTTTATCCGCTGCTTCCTATATTGACAGTAAGTGATAATGTTTCTTTTTCTTTATAGGATGTGATAAAAAAATGAAAAGCAGCAGGGAGTTTTTATATGACAAAGAAACCACTTACAATCACTGGAGTACAGATGGAATGCAGATAGTCATCTAACGAAGCTTCGACTACAGTGAACAGTTCTTCACAGCTCTATATATTAATTATTTACTTTACGTTTTTTCAGGTAGTTTTCAAAAGGGTGTCACTGCCAATTAAAATTCACTTCAATCTCACCAAGTAGCACAAAATTAGTTAAGTAGAGAATTTGCAAAATAAATGTTTACAAAAGTTTTTTAAACACTAATAAGAGTTAGCAAATAGATTTCTTTTCCAAACAGTTTTACCGGAGATAAAATAAAATTTAAAATTTAGTGGTGTTATGTCGATTCAGGATAACCAGTAGTGGAATCCAGGGTGCACATATCGTTAAATTCGAGGCTCGTCAGCTAAATATAGCTCCATCCCCAGTAAGAGACTGTCATAGACAGAGATGGTATTCCCACTGAAACTCGGACCCTGCATCCATCGTTCCCAACTCTAAAGCGTTATCCACTAGGTTAGTGAACCATGACGCCTATCTCTTGTGCAAGTGGTATCGTTTTCTTAGGGTAATCTGCATTTCTCGACATTCCAGAAGATACCAAGCGTATCAGTGCAAAATAATAAATCAACGAGATGTGGAAATTTACTGAATTATTAATAATGTCTTTTGTGCTGCTACTTTCATGGTCCTGGTTTTGAGCCCGATGAGTGCGTGCTGACGTAGAGTCCCAAACCAGGACGAAACAGCTGTGCAGTACTCCCAGGTTTTCCAGTGGTTTTCCAAACGATGTGAAGTCATGATGAAATCCTGAAACCAATCAAATCCCCGCATATCAACAGTTGGATATTTTCTCTGAGGTGATTTGTTCAGTTGCGTAGCTTTAATTATTATTCTAAGGAGCATCTTTAGCGCTAACTTCAGTTAAATTATTCAGCGAAGAGAACACAACATCATTGAGGCCATCCACCTAAGCCATAAATCCCCTTCATTATTTCAGAAATTAAAACTGTTCATGTATTACACTAAACACTAGAACAATGACAACTGTATGTCTAGTGAATAAATCAGCTAAAAGTGGATCAGATTTTCTGTGTAAAAATGAGTCAGAGAGAAGATAATGTTAACCCAGAGTTTGGATAACTGGTTTCTAATCCACACGCAGAAAAAACAAATCCTGTTCAGTTTACATCAGTGTTTTTACAAACATCTAACCTGAAAATTCTGAAGAAATATAACTGCAACTCAATAATATTTAGTTCGTCTGTATGTCATGACACTTCATTTCATTGTTTTAATGTGATTACAGTTACTGATGACAGTGTATGTCATGGAAGTTTATCAATGTATGGTGACACCATCGGTATCTGTTTGCATAGCTGAGGTCAGATTTTCTCTTGAAACTTATCTAGTGCTTATTTCAAGGCAGATTAGCACCGTTTAGTTCAAGCGGAACTCATACACAATATTTAGACTGTAGGTAGAATGCATGCCAACGATACATGTAGTCTGGAGTTCCATTCCTGGTTGGCACACTCTGAAACATCACCTAGTAAGCTTAGAAAAAGCAGGAACGTTGGTCATGAGGTTGTCAACCACACTCTGCAAGCAAAAAAACAACCTCAACGCTACTGAAACTTCAAGGAAGCTTGAAGACGTATATTCTAGTCAGGACACAAATGAATGAAAAACAATTTAGGCGGCTGTTTCTTACATCGACAGCTATTTCGTCTCAATATTAACGTCTGTCGATGTAGCTGAGCAATGAGTGTGTTGACCATCTTTTCACACATTCATGCTGATGTTTTCATTTAAAAAAATACTTATTGCTTATGTTCATTACAAGTTATCAAAGTTTGACTAAAATGAGGCAGATTACTAGCGCTCGTGTATTGCAGTGTAAATAGCCTCATATTCATTAAAAAACTATAAATATAATAACTTAAACAGTCCCATAAGAATATAAGTGGAAGAAATGCAGCCGATGGTTACTTCTGTTCACTTGAAGAGAAAGAACAATGGAGTCAAAAAGAGTCAGTTATTTTTTTAAAAATATTTTTAAACAAATTGAACTTTAGAAGGCTAAATGAGCTTTTTAGAATTGTAAGCAAATGTTCTTTTCTCCTAAATCTAAAGGTCGAATAAATCAAATTATCAATAAAAGTCGTATGTTTAACAAGAAAAAAACAATCTCAGGTGGTTTAATCAGTGTTCAATCGTTTGTTTTGAATTTGTACTTTTGCATTTTAATCAAAATACAAAACATTTCTTATTTGTATTCAACTTTAATTATGTTTTTTTCGATACTACTATCTTTTAAGTTAGTGAGTGTCCTTAAAGTGAAGTCAGTTCACGTGGGTACCACATTTATTCACATTATAAATGACAAAGTAATTACAGTTCCATATATTTTTCTATTTCTCCACTTTCCCAGTAGAACATAGGGCTTTAAGCTAGAGGCTTGAAGTTTCTGTAGTAGTGTTTATTTTTGCAGGATGGGGTTGCTAGCCTCATGTCCAATCTTCCCTCTTTACCAGCTTTATTTCTAGCTCAGCGAAGTGAAGGAGTGCGTCGGTGGGGGATCGAAACCCGGACTATATGGATGGTCAGCGAACATTCTAACCGCTGTACCACCAACGCCCTCAGTTTTAGAGTTCCATATTAGATAAGTTTATTTGATATAGCACACTGTGATTCAGTGTACACGTTTTGAGCACAATCTACCGCTCATAATCACATCAATATATTAATAAATCATGTGGTGACGAGTTCATAGCCTCTACCAGGTAAATCCTTTTCGCCACCTTCACGAGGGGAGAATGTTCCTCACAAAAGTGGAAGGATGAATCAAAACGCCTTGTGCTTACAATCAGACTGGCAGACATGCTGGTCCACCTAGAGGAGCTGGAAAACCTCGATTCCAAACCTGTGTTGTACATAAACTCCAGAAGCCGAGTGGATAAAATGGAGTCTCGCCATTGTTTTGGCCACCGGAAACCATGGGAATGCAACTGCTGATGCTTCTCCACTTCTTTGTGGCTCACATTTAAAATCAAAGGCTTATTGGTTAGCCCTTCAAGGCACACACTTGCTTCGGTCTGGGCGTCCGAGTAGCCTCCCAGCCCTCTTATTAACTATGAGATTTTGTGTGGAGTACCTCTATGCAGCCAAGTTTGTGTTTTAATAATTAAAGTAATATTTATCAAGTCGTATGCATACAATTATGTCATCCACTCACTTATTAGTATTGTATCAATCTTTTTTTATTAAATAAAACTATCATAGAGCCTGATTTCTGCTCCTAAATTAAAGCCATTAAAAGTCAACTATTTGTCTCCAGTAGAGAATTCCCTTTGCTTAAAACAAAACCACAGTCTATTATTTAAATGCAATACCAAAAAAATTGAAGTGTTGAAAATAATTATATTAAATTTATTAAAAAATGCCTACTACTTGCTGTCTGCCGGTCAAATCACTCGACCGTTGTGTTGTCCTCCTTCGTTTGTACGGTTGACTGAATGTTGGCATGTAGGTTTTTAGTGAATTTGGCCATTTTGAACTAGGAATATGGAAAAAGAAGCAGAAGAAAAGTAGAATTAAACTGGCGTCAGTTTTAGAAAAGACTAGAGATCAGACATTTTTATTGTTTGGTTAGTCAGTGCTTATTTTTGAGTTAAAGTCTACTGAGTGTTTCATAGCGTCAACCAGAAGGTCCTGGGTTCAAATCCCGGTGGGTGCGTACTGATGAAGAGTCCCAAACTAGGACGAAACAGCTGTTCAGCACTCTCAGGTTTTCCAATGGTTCTCTAACTAATGTCAGCTCATAATGAAAATCCTGTGACCAATCAAATCCCTACAAACCAACACTTGGATATATTCATCACTTGGTTACTACCTGATTTCAGTAAACCAAGCAGTAATTATCTGTTTACTGCTTGTCAGTACTTTAACTTTAACTTTAAATCTTCAACTATCTACTTTTAAAATAGATCTTTTTCTCGATGATTAATGCTTTACATTATTCACAGACATCCAGGACAAGAAATGTTTTAATACACTTCATCAGTAGTGATATCAATTGATAAATCACGGTCAGTTTATGCCTATTATTGCTCATTATTGTTCTCTTGGGTTCCGAGTGGAACATAGGGCTTCAACAGAATCCTTTCCCTTTTTCCTATTCTCTGCGGCCCTCTTTATCTGGGTCCGCGATCGCCCATAATCTCTCATCTCCTCCTCACGCGATCTCCTCCATATCATCCTTGTGGTCTTAACGCGTTGTTTCCCATTCAGATTCTACTCGAGCGATATCCTGGCATGTGAGCCATCATTCAGTGGTCTCCTCAGAGTGTAACCGGTACATCTCCATCCTCCTCGATGTATTTGAGCAATAATTTCTTCATTGATTCATTCTCAGAGTTTTTGATGCTAAACGTTTGTGGCCATTCGATCTTCAATATGGAATGAAGGTAGCCATTGGTGAAATTCCTCAATATGTTGAAAATTCTTTATCTACTAGTTCCTAATTACTGTTGGCCTATTTGTTTACTGCAGTCTGAAGCATTTAGACGTTTCTGTGAGGCCATACGTCATGCTGCCCTCACTTTTTATATAATACAAACTCCCATGTTATGCAGAATAGACTATGACCTCATTTACATATTGATTATTTTTAAACTAGTGAACGTCCACAGAAATAGTCCTTCACCAGTTTGTATTTTACTTAAGGATTATAGAATTTGTTTCTTCAAAATCAAATGTACCATTTCTGAAATTTACAGTCCTATGTACGGCTGACACAGCTTTCTAAACTTTTGAGCAGTGATATCACTGTTATTTGTTTCTAGCTTAATTTGCATTTCCCGTTGATTAATTATAGTAAACTGGAGTTTTGAGCCTCTGTTGGCGCCCTTAGTGGCCTAGTGGATATCGCTTTGGCATCTCAAAAGTTTGGTTCAGGGTTAAAGTCTCAGAGGGAACAACATCACTCACTGATGGTACAGGTTCATCTAGCTAACAAGTCCCAAATAGGACGTAATGTGCATCTTGGACTCCATTGCTATTCACCAGCATCCTAAATAAAATGTCAACATTATTATTTCATTTGAAAATCAGGAACATCCAAATGAATATATTTCACTGATTTAGCACTGTAAATGCTTTCATTATTGCAAATATATAAACAATGCGATACACACTGTCACTTGTGGTCAGTAGTAACGAAATATCAGTTCAGAGTTTGGGAGAACGTACTCTACCTAATGATCTGAGTTATTTACAACCATTGAAGCTGTTATTTGTTTTTGAATAAAGCAAGAACAACAGCTTTTGCAGAATTACATGGTACCATCATTTATTTCATTGGCTTCTCACCAGCTCCTTACAGGCCAAAGACATTATTAAGTATATCTACAGGAACAGTTTTAACATACTTGCAGAGGGTTCACTTTTAAACAAAATCAAACAATATATGCATACGATAATAATATATATAATAATCATAGGCACTTTATCCCGAACAATAATGATCACACACAATGGAAACCTTCTGCATTGCGTAATCAAATGAAAGAGAGGGTGAGCAGATATGTTCATATCCAACCTTGAAAGAACAAAGTTGAAGCATGCAGTCAACGACACAACTTCTCATTGTCGATATGTTGATGACATATTTGTAGCGTGCAAAAATGAGAGTAATGCTTCCTACCTACTTAGATTATTCAACGAGGTACATACAAATATTGAATTTACTATAGAACGTGAAAATGATGGAAAGTTCCACTTCGCCGACATTGCCATGCAACGCCTAGAAGATGGTATTCTTCAGAAGTCAATTTATCGAAAGCCTACATGGAAAGGACAATACCTATATCTTAATAGTTTTTGTCCAAATTGCTTTAAACGAGCTCCAGTCAAGACTCTGTACTATAGAGTTAGGAGAATATGCTCCACAGAGAAATCAAAGGAAGTATTTATGTTTCTTCAAAAGATGTTGAAAAGCAGTGATTTCCCTCAAAGATTCATTGACAAGTACGGAAGATCTGAAGTCTCAAATGTCAAGCAAATCACAGTGGCGAAAATGCTCATCTACATTCAACTTGATTTTAAAAGTGTAACTATTACAGTAGGTGCCAACAGAAGATTGAGGATGTCACTAGGCGGAGCCTATTCCGCAGCTAAGCTCGTCCCCATCTATCGAACAACTTACTCTATTGTGCAATCAAAAATCAACAGATATCCTTCTCATGTTAACTGTATCTGTATATAAAAATTTGCTTGTATATGCAGCAGCAATTATATTGGAAGAATAGAAAGAAGTGCGTACCTCCGATTTTCTGAACATGTACCAAAAAGCCTATGTCTAAATGAAACAAATACTTTAAATGATGCCGTCGCCAGGCACCTCCTTGACACGGGTCGTGAGGTGGACGTCGCAAGATCATTCAAAATTATCAATAGACAAAAGAGTTAAATTCTCCTTAAGTTTGCCGTAGCAGTCTCCCTCAAGCGTCTGAAACCTGAATTATGAGTTCAGAGAGTAGCGGTTATCAGTAATTCCTTGCCCTGGCAACCTGATATCCTCATTCTCTCTTTCATCTGATTACGTAATGCAGAAAGTTTCCATTGTGTATGGTCATTATTGTTAGGGATAAAGTGTTTATTATTATTACTATTGTTATCATTGTATGCATATATTGACTGATTTTTGTTCACAAGCGAACTCTATGCAAGTATGTCAAGATTGTTTCTGTATATATGCTTAATAATGATTTTGGGCTGTAGGCAGCTGATGAGACCCAACGAAATAAATGATGGTACCATTTTATTCTGCAAAACTGTCGTTCATGCCTTGTTCGCATTGATCAACGGAATAAATTTATGAAACTTTTATTTGTTGTTTAACTATTTAATTAGATTTTTATTTCTTTTCAAGTAATTTATTAACAGGTATTTTTTCGCGTGATAGTCGCAGTAAAATAAAGACTTGGTTACTAGTTGCATTTAATAGCTCATTCACTACAGCCCATTGTCGGTAGTTCGGAGACAGCTGGTTAGAATCTCCACGTGACCCAGACTTTCATTTCAACCTCAGTCACCACTGATTACACAAATAGAAAGCAGATAAGCACCCATTAGATTCAGAAGTATATCTTTAGGTTTGCATTACATGTTACTCGAAATGCCGCGAATCATTAATATTTTTAAATAAAACATGGGATATTCTGTATTAAGGCCAGAGATAACATTAAACTCTTTTAACCAGAAAAAGAACTTAATCAAGGAAGTATTATTCTGTGTCCTTTTTATAATTAAAGTTAAAAAGCTTGTGTTTTAGTGTAAATGCACGAGAGAATGCTTAGGTCAGTGTTGTATTCCGACTATGGTCACAATCAGTCATACTATCATTCTTTAGTGTAGTTACCCTTGCGTATACGCGATCTACCCCTATTTCCTCCTGTGTATTTTTTGGGCGATAGTTTATTTGTTGGTTTGTTGCCTAGCATAATTCCTTATTGCTAGTCCTTTTTGGACATCTCATCTTCAGTAATGGGGTAGCGATGGCAGTCTGAACTACATTTGATATGACTTTGGTGATACGCCAAGACTCTGAACTATACAGAATCACTGACTTGAGATTAGTGTTAAATTCCAAATCTTGTTCTTCATGCTGAGTGCAGCAGATTTGCGGACTCATTTCAGACTGGTGAAGTTATGTATTACCTCTTCTATCGTAGTGGGCTTCGACATCTTCATTTTCGCCCTGGCCTGCAGTTGAAACGATGTTTTCTAGATAAGTGAAACAATTGATATCCTTCGAATTTCCCCCGCTGCTGATGATTAGCGCTTGCTGTAGTTGTTTAGTCATCTTCATCACCTCCATCTAGTCTGTGTTCGCTTGAAGTCCTGTCTTTGCTGCCTGTCTCTTTTACCAGCTTGTTGGTTCTCACCTGTGGATCTTTAAGTTCGTATGACATCACAAATAAGTCATCCGTAAAGTCCAAATCTTCTAGAGTCTCCTTACCGGTCCAGTATATTCCTGTCTTCTCGCTGCCCACAGTCTGACGAATAATCCAGTCTACCACAATTAGGTATATCATCGGTGATAATTGGGTGCTTTGTCTAACTCTTGTATCAACTACAAACGTCTCGCCAACTTTCCCTTTGGGGGGCACGTGACATATGGCATTACCATGCCGTTACCGAATGAAGTTGATAAAGATTTGGGGCACTCCACGCCATAGTGTTGAAGTAGTTTTCAAATTACTTTACTGTCAACGTTGTCGAAAACCAGTTCATTGTCAGTGCCGTTGAAGTAGAGATTTCGCTGTCGTTCTGTGCTCTCTTCGACGATCATGCGTAGAGATGTAATTTCATCAGCATATGATTTGCCCTTCCATGGATCCAAGCTTGTTCTAAGCAAGTTTCTCATCCACTGCATCCTTTAGTCTTCTCAAGATGGCGCCACTTAATATTCGCCTGGAGAGGACAACAGCATAATTCTGAGCCAGAGTTCGCAAAGTCCTAAAGCATCCTTCTTTAGTAACTTGGGAAGGTAGCCCTCATTTCGATCGGTCTAGTCATGCTACATTTCCGGCTTTCAGTGACTTTAATAAATTAATTAAGCTAAATTTAAAACTCACAGAAATAATATGCACAAAGTATGGCATTTAAAACTGTTTTGTAAAGAATGTGTCAGAAATATTTTGCTAAGTCTCTCTATTCACCTACCTGGGTGTATTCCATGAAGGACCAAGTTCTAACCAAAATTCTTTCGTTTTTACTGTGAAAAGTTTAAATAATGATGTGATAGTCGATTCATACAATAAAGGTTCAATAACATCCACTACTATATTTGGATTATAATTGGGTATTAGTTTCTCCTTCGCAGAATTATGCACTTTTCGAACAACTCTTATTAAATAGACGAAAACTTCTTTTGATAAGTATGGAAGAGATTTTCTAATTTTTTCAGTAATATTTAATGCAAATTTAACTTTCTGTAATGCATCGATAGTGTCTGTAGCATTCGGTGGTTGACTGTCGGTATTTTTAGTATCACCAGCTGAAACAGAGAAAGTAAATAGGAATACATGAGGAGTAAATTTATAGCAGACAAGAAAACTGAGAAGTATATGCTTTAATTAAATGAAATGAAATAAGAATTTCTTTTTAAATTAGTTCATTCCACAACCCTTTCTGTACTTATTCTGTCCTGATTTTAATGTACTGGATCACGAGGAGCGAGAATACAGGCATACATTGAACTGACGAGAAGACATTGCAGGATCTGGACTTCTAACACTAATGTCAAGGCAGTTTATGAATGCTTTTGTATGGTTCAGAGACTTGGTGCGTTACCAAAGTTATTTCCAGCTAGCTATCACAGGCTTTCATCTACAGCTGCCTTCACTCGATACTGAATATCAGAAGGCCACTCAGAAGGAATTATCAACAAGGAATTCTGTTAACGAGCCAACCAGGAGTCTTTTGTCTAACAAATACTCCGAAGAAAATAGAAATGGATCGGACACTCTTAGAAGACATCTGAATGATATCGTGCGTAAGGTTCTTGAATGGTAGCCAAATGGGAAACGACGAGTTAGTCGTTGGTCCGAGTGTGATATGGAGGAGGTCGTATAAGAAGGGGACAAAAGCTTATGCTCAGTCGTTCAGTCACCTAATGAGGAATCCGGAGAACAGGATAAAATGGAGAATGTGCTGTTGAAGCCATATATTCCACTAGGAACCCAAAAAATTAAAACTATTAATAATGTGCCCACTATATGTAACTAGAACAAAGCATAGACAGTGTTTGATTTACCATTGACATTTGTCTTAAACCGCTTGTTTCCACGGTGCCGAGTGAACAGTATATGACTTGATCGAGTAATCTTTATTCACGATAGAGTAAATAGGTTAATTGAAATAATAGAGAAACTTTGTAGCTCAAGTGGACGATTTGCAATAATTAGTGTTCTCTAAACTGGTTGGTTTAGTTGCAGAGCTTTCGTTGTCCTTCTGTACAACATCTTCAGCGCAATATTTAGCATAAAGTGAAATCATTTAAATTTTTCATGAGCGACATAACTGCGTCTCCCGGTAACCATCTTTACATGTTTATTGATCATTTTCTGTTGACTTGGATTTTAAACTTTCTGGCCACCTGATTTACTTTATATTAGTTGGTATATTTGGTCTATATTAACACGTTTGTTTTTCGTTTGCATTTTCGTTTAAGTACCAGGCTTCTAGGAATTCCCTGGTGTTTCCTCTGCCTAAAATTTCGACATTATCCCAATCAAACTGATGTCCATAATTGTCTATATGCATTGATACTAAAGAATATATATCGTGTCTTTCCACGGCTGGTTTGTGTTTCTGGATTCTGATTTGAAGGGGACGCCCACTTTGGCCGATGTAATGCCTGTTACAGTACATACAATTTATTTTGTAAATGGTATTAATTTCATCTCCTTTTTCCGCTGGATCTTTCAGGTTGCATAATATCGAATTAGGCGATTTAAAATCCAAGTTAATAGAAAATGATCAATAGACATGTAAAGATGGTTACCGGGAGACGCAATTATGTCGCTCATGAAAAATTTAAATGATTTCACTTTGTGCTAAATATTGCACTGAAGATGTTGTCCAGAAGGACGACGAAAGCTCCGCAACTAAACCAACCAGTTCACAGAACACTATTAATTGCAAATAAGTTAATTCTTTGCAGTCTGGGGTTAAATCGTTTTATTTTATAAATTCATAGTTATATGCAAACAGCTATTCACATATACTACAGACCTGAGATTTACAATGCAGAAGTGTTACATCGTCTAGAAATATAGACGTGAACATTGTCTGCATGGTGATTATTAATTTCTTATATTATCTTCATCCAGTAATTCTGTGAAATCTGATTAGCAATTTTCAAATGCTACAAAATGTTCTTGCAGAACTGAGGGTTTCATTCATTTATTTATTATCTCATCAATATGAATTCTTAAATGAGGAGTGAATTCCTTCTTTTTTACCGACTAACAACTTATTTTCTCAGGTCCAGTTTGTAGCATTTGAAATATTGATTATTTTCTTCTCAACAATAAAGCTGTTGAGTGTGTTTTTGAGTAACAATTACAGTAACACCCTTAAATGAATTCTAAATGAATTCCTCAAATGAGTTGTGTGAAGATAGAATATGATACTGGTTAAGTTTTATAATTAGTGAAAAAAGAAGTAGTATATTGTTAATGTCTGCGGTAAATCAATAACTAAATCCGAGATCAATAGTATATTCGGTAAGGATAAGCAACAGAATATGCAGCCTTAGTCGAGACAGCAGAATATCTACGACGGATGACAAATTTGTTAAACAAGAAGCTTTTACGTTAGTTAAACAGTATCCGAGGAACTTGGCTACACAAAATAACATAAAAATCAAATGAAATAAAGAATTCAGCTGTTTGAGAATTATTAAGTCGATGGACAAAAACGATCGACGAGTAGAAGGCATATTGGTGAGTTTTATTCAGATACATTCAGATGAATATATCCAAAGCCGGGTTTACACATAACCCGATATGTTCGAATGCTTCAGCAATATGCTGGGAGTCGAGAAAATTAAGTTTGAAATGATTCGTAATTTTGATTTCCTAAAATTATGACTTTCATCTCATTTACCATAGTCTAGGTCTAGTGGCGACGTAATCTAGTGAGAAAATACTTCGAAGGGAAGCTAGGATACTTTGGTAACTTTTGTCTTTTTTCTACCCAGGAATTTAACTACATCTTCATTAGTACTACTTTGAAGATGAGCAGTTATTAGTGCTAATTAAATGATGGTTTGATTTCATCGATTATTTAATACCTAGATATTAGATTTAGTTAATTAGTAGATTGATTGAAAAGTGTACTAGATATTTTTAGTTGTTCTGACATAAAACATATGACTTCGAGTGATATTAAGTTTTGACTACAGCTAACACGTGGTGCTTATGAAAGTGTTGATCACACTTTACACAGCCTAACTTCTTTTAGGCTTATGCATTTAAAGTTTATTTAAAAAAAACAACTGAATAGTTTATAATGATATTTGTTATACATACATAGATATACTTACTGCTTTTTTCTGCCCCATGACGATCTAATGATCTCAAAAACTTTCTCAAGTTTCTCTCGAAATATTCAATATCTTCGAGGCATCGATTCAACATGTACAAATCTCTTCCATAAGCATCATCCTAGAAAAATGAGTGGTAGCATAAAAAATACATTAAATACGATGTTTTAAGTTAGAAATAATGAAAACCAGAAATTATATATATATAAACAAGACCAGCATTTATTTTCTTCAGTAAATAAACATTAAAGTAAATAAAGCTACTGTTAGGTAAATAATATGGTGATTAGGTAAATTACACATCACATTTGAAATATCTTAAGAACTTTAATTGGGTACTAGATAGTGACGAATGCCACCCCTCTAGACCCTTGTTTGGTGAAGACTGAAATCTGTCAGTCAAGTTTACAATGTGAACACCATCTCAGGTGGCTCATCATCACGATGTACCCTGAATTGCTTTTATGAGATGATTGAAGGCAATCAGAAGGTAGCCTTGCACTTAACAGTAGCCTTGGACTGGTTAACACTCGTCAGCAAGGCATATATGAGATCTTGAAGGAACACACTTCCCTTCTGAAATTTCAACGCTTGTCACCCAGTCCTGAAGACACAGATTTCACTACTGAGCTGTTAGACCTTGTGATAAGAAAAACAATTCAGGATATACCATGATGGCGAGCCATCTAGTGTGGTGGCCACATTGTAAACCTTACTGATAGAATTCAGTCTTCATCAAGAAAAGGACTAGACGGCTGTCATCAATCATTACCTAGTGTATAATCAAAGTATCAAATGCAGTCCTAAACAAGGTCAGTCGCAAGCACGAATGGCTCAGTAGTAAAGCGTCTGACTGCAGCACTGGGTGGCAAGAGTTTGAATTTCAGAAGGGATGTGAATTCCTTCAAGATTGCATACATGCCCTGATGACCAGTGTGAACAAAGAAGAAACCTAGGTCCAAGACTTGCTACCGATTGTCTCCAACTGTTTAATATCCTAAAAGCTTTCATTATAAGTTTTTAACCTAAGACGTAAAATCAAACGCTACCTTATTTGATTCATCATTCGGAAACTTTTACAATCTTTCTTATTAGGAGCCCGTTCATGAAAACATTGCATAACTGCGAAAATTGGTCTCTTTAATTAACACGTTTATTATTCTAATGAGATGATTGAAACTGTAGCAAAAACTTGAGATATTGAATGAAGTGAGTCATCAGTCTGCCAGTTATGAGTACAACTAAGCCGGTGGTTCCAATCTTTGTGTTGTTAGACGGTTAACTTAATGCTTAGCGGTATACATAACAATTGGAACAAAGTTCTTGAAAAAGGCTGTATGAAATAGTTACGTCAAATTAACAGATTTAGGACTGAAAGACCTGGTCAGCCAAAAGTTGTGATTATAATAATGATGAAAAAAATGGTTAAGTAACATCCTTTCGTATGGCAGCCAGTTGAATCTCACCATTGTTTGAAGTGAAATTAACGCATGGGGTCACACTGCAGAAATATCACCAACAGATACATAAATACTAGTGAACACAAATCCTTCAACAAAAACATAATTCTAGAATGCCATGTGACTACTGAAAGCCGATAAGACAGCAAGATCGAATGGAATTCCCTCGGAAACACTGAAAATGTACCTAGAGACCTAGGTAGACATCCTCACACCTTTAGTGAAGAAGGTTTTAGAACGAATGGTAGGTACTTACAGAATTGAAGAGAGGCTGCCTTGTCTGAAATCCAAAGAAGGGCTGCTTAAGCCTTCGCAAGAACTGTCACGAAATCACGCCCCTATCCATACTAAGCAAAATATTTAACAGTATCATCCTGAAGAAAATAAAAGGCGACTATAATGGAAAACCCCGCCCTGAAAAGATTGGGTTTAAGAAGAAAAAACAGTGAGCTGATCACACTGAGGCACAGAACATCTTCGTTGAGTAGAGGCAAGAGTGGCACACAGCTCTTTACTTCAACTTCTTGGACTCTGAAAAGACAGTCAACAGTTCCGACTGCAGAGTAACTTGCCAAATGTTGCAAATATTTAGAAATCTCATGCAGTAGCCATATGATGATGATGACAAAGCATGCCAAGCAGATTACAGTAGAATGATGACTGAATTCTTTGGAGTGAAACCAGGAGTAAGAAAAAGTTGCCTACTATGACCCATTATCTTCCCAAATGTGGTGGACTGCATCACGCAAAAGATCACTGGAAGCAAGAAGACGGACATGCATTGAACCAAAGAAAGGACCCTTAAGATATAGATTTCCCGCATGACTTGCCAGACGTCTCGCAAACTTGAGTATCAACAAGTGGAAACTAACAAGCTATCGTAAGAGGCATTGCAGAAAGGAGTTCAGGTGAAAAAATAGAGATACAGGTGATTGAGGAACACGACTGACAACAACAAACAAAAGTTACTTTGTCTCTTTCATTCACATAACTGGGCAGCATCGTTTCGAATACAGTATTAGAACCAAAAGTTTATTGCCCTAAAGTCAGTATTGAGGTCTGTGACACTTAGCATTAATGTCAAGTCATCGCTTCTGTATAGTTTAAAGACTTGGCGAGCACCCAACCACAAGAATTTCCAGTAGGCTGTGGACTTTCATTAGCAGCTGTCTCAACAATTAAGATAAGATGGCCGATGGGGAAGACTGAGCAACAAGTAACTCTGACAGGCACTAAGCCAGGCGACAACTTATCCCCCGAAAAATATGGAGTGTGAAATGGAGATAGATTAGATACACACTGATGATACCACTGAGTGATGTAGCATACCACATACTCCTATGGAGAGTAAAGAGTTGGGCGTAGATCTGAGGGTAACACTGAGGAGATCATATAAGAAGAAAAAGATATCTTGAAGACAGTCGTGGAGTTAACTAAAAACGGAAGCAGAAAATCGAGTACACTGAAGATGTGCTGCTAAATCCTTATACTCCACTTGGAACGCAAGGACCAAATAATAACAGTAATAACCACCATAACAGCATTGAAGAGTTCGAAACACTAGATCAGTAATGCAATGACCACTAGTTTAAATTATTCCCCTAGCAGTGTCTTCATATCAGCCTCAAGTGTCTTGGTATAAGGTAGCTGTTTGGCGCTGCTTGGGTTCCTATGATTCTATGACTGATATCGCTCCGTGACCATACCTACAATGAAATCAGTCATAACCCTTACAAACCCTCGATTCCGATTAATAATCATACCGTCTTTAATTTAAGAACGAACTGAAGACTCCCACAAACTTAATAGTAATGAAGAGCGAATACACATAAATCTGTGTGTGGTAGATCATAATGTAGACTTCATTACATTTATTAAAAAAATTAGTTTGTTATGACAGAATTATTTAACTGATAATGGCACCAGGATAATTGGTAATCAAATAAAGAAAAAGCCACATGGTCAGAATAAAAGATCTACTTTTCTGTATAACAGTATGATAAATCTCTTATCTAGATTATTTTAATCAATAATTTATATATTTTTTCTAGTACTCATATGATTCCCACAGACCATTTGGAATATACACCGAGATAATAATGCATTTGACATATTTTCCTCTCGATTATACCGACTTACGAATAAAGTCGATTTCAAGTTTGTTGCTGAGGGTTACTCAACCACTGTTTAGCCAGATTTCCATTGTTCCTGATAAATGATGTCCCTTGACTTATTAGATTTCTCAGTGATTTATTAGGCTTACTGAATGTAAGAGAATAATTGTACCAATTGGTGGAAACTAGGTACCGTACAGTGTAAACATCCAAACATTCATTTCTTGTGGTATAAGTATGTCCAAATATATCTTTCTTATAATTTCATAGGTAGCAACTAGCAGTGGAATCCAGGAGTCAGGTTTCATCCTATTCGAAAATCGTCATCTGGATTTACCCGCTATTTTCAATGAGTGGTGGTGATCCCACTGAAACTAGAATCCAACACAACATCGTTTCAAATTCTGTGTTACCCACTAAGCCACGGGAGCCAACCCTTATGCAAAGGCTATCAGTTGTTATTAGTTTAAGTTAATTTTTAACTCCGCGTTGGTTGGTCATATTAGACCGAAATGTCTGGCTTCTGTTGACATGTCAACTCTTAATATGAATGTCTCAACGATTTCTGACGATTAACTTGATGTTATTTGGTGGATGGTAACTAGCAGTGGAAACCATGATGCAAATGCATCCCGTTCAGAACTCTACATTTGAACATATCATTCATCATCCACCAAGTAACAACATGGTAATCCTTAGGAATCGTCAAGGTTCGCGTATTAAGAGCCGTAATGTCAACAGAAACAGAACATTTTGGTTCAGTATGACCAATCTACGGAAAATACACAATTAACTTGAACAAATAAGAAACTGGTTACAGGATATCATCATGAGCTGACATCACTTAGAGAACCATAGGAAAACCTGTAGGGAGTACTGGACAGCTGTTTCGTCAGCCTAGTTTGAAACTCTTCATCAGTATGCACCCACCGTGACTTTCTGATTACAAGGCGAGTTCGTAGACCATTAAGCTACTAGGACCCGATCTATCGACCAGCCCATAAATTCCAACTTCTGCCAATTCCCGACATAGCGTGACCTCTAGGCAATGTCTTTCGCGAGTATATGTCCTCATATCCGACCTGCTGTACCCTACTGGTCATGACGTCCGACTAGAACCTCAGGTAAATTCCTACCTGAATAGGACCAGTCGCTAGTGCGCATCTCATTGATTTCCAAGTATTGGTTTGCAAGGATTTGATTGATTGGTTACAGATTTCATTATGAGCTGATATCGGTTGGAGAACCATTGGAAAACCTGCTGTGGAGTCGCAAACTAGGACGAAACAGCTGCTCAGTACTTCCTACAGGTTTTCCAATGGTTTTCTAACCGATGTCAGTTCATGATGAAATCCTTTAACCAATCAGTCAAATCCCTACAAATCAATACTTGAAAAATAAGAAACTGTTATGTCTATATATTTAAATAATGACCGGTTTTCACTTCAGATACACTGATGCGAAGAAATAAGAACACACAATATTTTCCACTGGAAACTCTCCATGTCTCATTGTCAACATAGTTACACTTAATACAAGAATGTGTT